GTTCTCCTCGTCGCTCGCGACGTCGCCGCCCCAGACCGACCGGGGCCGCCGGGGGGGGCGCGCGGTCCGGCCGGGCACGGCGTCCTGGAGCGCGGCGACGAGGTCCCGCAGCTCCCCCTCGACCTTGCGGATCTGGTCGTCCTCGCGCGCGGACTCGGCCGACGGCGGCCCGCCGACGTCGTCGCCGCCCCGGCGCAGGCTCGCGGCGGCCCGCAGGTTCTCGAGATGGAGCTTCTTGCGCCGCAGGTGCGCCTCGACGCGGCGCCGGTCGCCCAAATTCGGCGCGCTCCGCGGCGGCTCCGCGCGGACCGGCGACGGCGACCGGTCGCCCGGGGGCGGCCGCACCTCGACGCGCCGCGGCGGCGCCGGGGCCGGCGCCGGCGGCGCGGCGTGGACCGGCGGCGCGACGTGGACCGGCGCCGGCGGCGCGGCGCTCGACGGCGTCGACGACGGCGCGGCGCTCGACGGCGTCGGCAGGTCGAGGTGCGCCGCGGCGTCGTCCGATTCGCGGTCGCGGCAGAGCCGCGCGAGCCGCGCGATGGACGGCCGCTCGGCGTGGTCCACGCGGAGCATGTGGGCGACGACGGTGCGCAGGAGCGGCGAGTAGTGGTCGCTCAGGGGCTCGTAGGTCCCCGCGGCGATGTTCCGCGCGAGGCCTAAGAGGTTCGACCCCCCGAAGGGCGGCGCGAGCGCGCAGAGCTCGTAGAGCAATACGCCTAAACTCCAGATGTCCGTCTTCTCGTTGTAGGGCCGCCCCTCGCAGAGCTCCGGCGACGCGTAGAGCGGCGTGCCGTACATGGTCCGCAGGAACTGCGTGTTCTCGGAGACCTGGCGCGAGACGCCCAGATCCGCCAATTTCAAGTTCGGCTCCGCGGGGAGGGGCGCCAGACCCGGCGGCGCCAGGGGCTCGTCCCAGACCGCCTTCGTCGTCGGCGAGACGAGCACGTTGAGCGCCTTGATGTCGCGGTGGACGACGCCCGCCGCGTGCAGGTGCTCCAGCCCGCCGCAGATCTGCGCGAACGCGCGCCAGATCCACGCCTCGGGCAGGAAGAAGGCGCGGTCGCCGAGCGTGCGCCGCTTGAGGAGCGCGTGCAGGTCGCCGCCGGCGGCGTAGTCGAGGACGACGTAGGACGCGCGCTTCGATCCGTCGTAGAAGTGGCCGTGGCACGTGACGACGTGCGGGTGGTCGATCTTCTCCAACAAGAGCGCCTCGTGGGCCGGCGGCGCGGCGCGGCCGAGCTCGGCGACGCGCCGCTCCTTGAGGACGAAGATGCGCCGGTCGCGCTTCCGCCGCACCTTGTAGACGGCGCCCGTGGCGCTGCGGAAGAGCTCCTCCAAGATGACGTAGTCCTTGAGGGACGTCGCGCGCTGGCCGCTCCGCGCGTCCGCGCCGTCGGCCATCATCCAGGACATGCCCACCATGGTCCCTCGATGGAAGGCGTCACGCGGGGCAGCGTCGAGGCACGATCATCGTCCCGACGTTGGCTGCCCGTCGCAGGGAAGCGTTTTTGGGAGCACGGCACCGTGGCGGGAACCTTTCACTTTCAGGCAGCCCGGCAAACGCAGCATGGTGCTCGACGCCGATGCCGTCGAGGCCCTCCGGGCCGAGTTCGCGGAGCTGGAGGAGGACATGAGCGCGGCGCGGCGCGAGGCCGGCCTCCCGCCGAAGCGCTGCCGGACGACGGCCGGCGGCGCGACGAGGAAGAAGCGGCCGCCGCTGCGGTCTCGGCCGCCGCCCGGCGCGCGGCTCGCGGCGGCGCGCGCGCAGCTGAGCAATCACCGCCTGGGCAAGGCCGGCAAGCACTTCTGCTGCGCCGCGTCCCTGGGCCCCCGCGGCGGGCCCGAGGCCGCGGCGAGGGCCGCCGCCGCCGCGGCGGAGCGGAAGCGGCGCGCAGACGACGCGTGGGCGGCCGTCGACCTGCGGCGGCGGCGCGGCCTCGGGCCGTCGCCGGGGCCGGCGGACTACGTCGAGCCCGACGCCGCGCGCAGGGCCGTGCCGCGCGCGAAGCTCGGCCCCGCGGCCTGGACGGACTCGAAGCGGTGCGCGCAGTCGTGCTGCAAGCGGCCGCCGCCGGCCGCCGCGCCCGACGACGACGACGACCGGCCCTGCGAGGTCTGCTACGCGACCTGCTGGTACGACTGCGCCTGCGCCTGCCACGACGAGGGCGAGGAGGACGAGGACGAGGACGAGGAGGAGGAGGAGGACGAGGC